ATGTGTGTGTATATCTATCTATATATTTTTATATATATACAACATGTCTTTGAAGGATGTGCTTGTTTAAAGAATGATTTTAATTCGTTTAATACTTCATTTACATTATTCTACTATTTTAAGATATCCCCAATCACTGTAATAGTAACAATCATCATCATGATAATCTCATTTTACACAACTCTATTCTTTTTTTTTTTTTTTGAGGAAGATTAGCCTTGAGCTAACTACTGCCAGTTCTCCTCTTTTTGCTGAGGAAGGCTGGCCCTCAGCTAACATCCGTGCCCATCTTCCTCTACTTTATATGTGGGATGCCTTCCACAGCATGGCATGCCAAGCAGTGCCATGTCCACACCCGGGATCTGAGCTGGCAAACCCCAGGTGGTGGAAGCGGAACGTGTGAACTTAACCACTGTGTCACTGGACCAACCCCTTACACAATTCTATTCTATGTTTATCCCTTGAAAACTTAAACAGGTGCATATATCTATATTAATTTTAAACAATCTGTTGATTTTTTTTACATTGGATAGGGAACGATTATTGTGAAGAAAATATTTTGTTGAAAGAAATTATTTGCTGATTAATCTACTCTTTGATCATTTCTTCCAACCGAGTTATTTTAATTGATTTCCATTTTCAGATGATTTTCTAGTTACATAAGAGGTTCATTCATATTTAATTTTTGGTAAGTGTATAATCATTCTAGTTGAACTTCATTAGAAGTTCCTGACTCCTGTTGTACACTCTTAAGTGGAATATTTCGAGGCATAAAACTATCTTGACTTTTCCTCACAAGATCTTTAGAAAGGCTGTGAGTACTTTCTAGGTATTTCTAATAAGACTTTAGAGTCTAGCGCTGTCAATACAGTCTGGTATTAGAGCATACGATTTAGATTCTAATGCTCCAACATTCCTTAAATAATAAATAATTTGCATGTTATATATATGTATGTGTTCCTTAGACAATAAATAATTTACATATTTTATATATATGTTCTCCCCCTTGGGGATTTCAAGTTGGAAGGGAGGGGGATAAGATGACTAAATTTTCCCAGAATTGGGAAAAAGAAGTTTCCTCAACAATTCCCCTAGATCTCAGCAAAGTGCATACATATAAGCATATCTTCCATTTAAGCCTGGTCCTGGACCTAAAAAGGTCTTGATTTCAAACCACTATTTCTTTGCCAAAAAAGCAAGTTAACCATGTCACTATTTACAATTTGGCTGGTTTATTCACAACAATCCTCTGAGTATCTAGAACCTTTGCACTCTGGATTATAAATCTTTTGTCTTAAAGAAGAATGACTTCATGTTCCACTCAGGGAATTCCTAGTGAGCAGTAGTGAAAGACACACTTTTGGTCTAAGGAGCCTATTCCTTGTCATGGAAATTGTAGTCAACTGAGTGAGAATGTGGGTTGAAGATAATCAGTAAATAGATATTTTAATAGAAAAAATATGAGAGAATATGTCAAGATATTAACAGTGGATTTATGTGGATGGTGGTATTCCATGGAATGTTTCATTTTTTCATATTTTTCTGAAATTTCCAAACTTATACTATGAAGCTGTATTTTTTATTTTACTTTATATTTTTTTTATAAACAACATGTTTTATGTTGTCCTCATGCTTATCCTAAAGCTTTTGTAATGTCTTCGAGTAGCATTCCCAAATAAATTTGGGAAACCAAGGGTAAACAAAGTTGACCGCATTTATTTAAAACACGATTTCTTAGAGACATTAGCATGCTAATGTTCATGACGAATCTTCCAGAGGCATACATAATAAGCAGAGTGTTCCAGCAATGGAAACTTTTTGTTCCACTGGGCACTCACTAGCAGCTGATGAGAAGTCAAAGTAAACTGTTTGGGTGTGTGGCAAGGGAAATACATTAGAAGGGAAAGTGGAGAAAGTGGTTGTTCTCCTCTTCTGATTATCATATCCCGAGCTCCAGATGGCCCCCCCGGATTATGTTGCCCTGTGCTCCTTCCTCTTTGATGCCATCACTCACCTCTTCCATTTAGTAGTTGAGCGGTCACTGCAATCCCCAACAGGCAACCTTCAGTTTGGGACTTGCAAATTTTGCTAACTTCAGCTTAGAGTTTGTGAATTTGTTTGGAGGAGAAAAAGGATAAACAATGAGCAAACATCGGAAACTCTTTAAGGATATCTGTATGATTAGAGTGCATGGTGAGAAGGTCATTTGAGAGATGCATGAGATGAAGGCTTTTGGTCGGGGTATATGTCTTGGAATATTGCAGGAGTGAATTTTGGGAAATATCTTCTGATATTTCCAAGTGGCTAGTAGAAAATAAGATGAAGCACTGGAAGGTGATAAGCTAGTATAGTAAACACACTTAGGGGCGAGGATAGAGAAAAGATGAAAGAAATAAACTTCTAAAATGTGGTTATAACCGTTTATGTGAACTGCTTTCCATTGATACCTGATCTCTATATGGCACAATGAGAATTATGCTTGGTAATTAATGTCTGTAAACTTAACCATGTTTTATGTTCTATTTGATGGGTACAGTAATTGTTATAAATAGGCTTTTTGGCCTTTGGAATTCATTGCTTATAGCATAGTCATCTCCTAACAATCTAAAAGCAGCAGAAGGAAATAGCGCATATATTTGGCAAGTGGATATCTCTTCTTCAAAGCACTTTATCATGCTAAATAAAACAGATTGGTTGCTCCTAAAACATCTGGTAAGCCAATTTTCGTAAGCGAGTTACCTCGGAGAGTTACCTTAGAGTGCAGAAATTATGCCTCCTCATACTCAAGAACTAGATAATAGTGAAAAAGGAGTGCAGGAGGGCTGTCCCATGCCGCCAGGCACTTGCAAGTGGCACACAGGAATTAGCATATATTTCCCAAACAGGCATGCATTTAATGGTAGATTGCTGCCACAGAATAAAATGTAAGCATGGACATCATTTAATTCTATAGATGCCACTCGAGTTCATAAGGTATTCACCATAAATCGTATCATTTGTAATCCTGAGAGAACTGAAACTCAACCTTGGAAACAAAATTAGGTTGTCAACCAACTGCAAAATCAATAAATAACAAGAGGATCTATTTCAAGACTTATGTAGAAAGACAATGTAGATATTGGTTTTCCTTGATCACGCAATTTAAGGTGCTTTTAATTCCAAGATATTAATCTGTAAATAATAAGACATAAAATTATTTCCAATAAGAGGCATCCCTGGTACACAAGGAATTTAGGAGGAAAATATGCCCAACTCTCTATAATCTATCTTTCTTTTTCTACTTTTTTTCATGACAATAAGTGCATATTTTATTAAATCAAAGGAAATTCAACTGATGGCTCCTTTCCTTCATCTAGAAAAGGAAATGCTGACAAAGAGAGGATAAAAATAAGCTCAATCAATAAGATAAATTCTAGCTTTTGTGAATAGATAGGATATATTTACTTTTTATTGTTATTATTTTTATTTGAAAGCCAGTTCTCACATTCTAATAAAGTATGAGCTTGTGATAGCCTTAAGAAATAACAGATGTTTAAACTAAGGAAAAGAGTCCTTCTGGTAAAAAATTTGTATGGAAAGAGCATGTGCAACAGAGAGAGAGATGTATAGATTGGGAAAATGACTGCTGGAAGGGGTGAGAATGGGGACCAGTATTAAAGACAAGTAGTTAATACAGGCGACATTTACTGCTGACAGCTGCTCCTTTCAAGCTACGCAGTTGCTGGAGAATGTTAAAGCTGAGGTTGGAAGCGAGTTCTAAAAACACAATTCTATTTTTCTTTATCTCAAACTATGTCTTCCATTTTGAAGTTCTTAAAGGGGAAACCCCAGAAATTTTTTATGTCCAGGGGCTCATTTAAGCATTTGGGAGCCAATGAAATTGATTACCAAAAAAAAAAGACAAAAAATATTGGATTGGTTGGTGGAGGGACTATCTCTGCCTCCAAAGTATTTTTTCGTTTGAGGTAGACATTATGTGGAATGTATAACATGACCTCCTTGAAAGAAATTTATACTGAAAATATTAGCTATTTACAAGTGAATGGCTGAGGGATAAAATTCTTGATTTTCAAAAGAACTCATTATTGCACATATTGGATCACCTTTTTGACATCTTATGACAGACATACAAATGTCTTGATAAATGAAATGAATTACTTAAGATACTGGACCATTATTTCTCAAAGCTAAAGTTGAACATTACAAATTCATCTTTTCCATTCACACCCCTCAACAAATTGTTTCCTTTTATGCAAACAACATTTTTTTGGTGAGTGACTATATTTTGTTGAAAATGTCTGTGCTGAGTTGTCAGCAAACTACGACAAAAATGTTTTATTGGTTGATATATATACCTCAGAGGCCAATAAAATAAAATCATGTTGAACTTGAAATGGAATCTATTAAATGAACTTTTTCTGTGCCATAATATGTTCTTCTCATCTTTAAAATTGAAGTTACCTATATAGGTTGTCAGATTCTTCCCAGGGATTAATTTGGATAATTCAGTTATGATTTAGTGCCAGAAAGCAATCATTTGCAAAATATACCCGTGGGTCCTTAAGGAGTTAATAAAGCTTGCTACAGTATACTGTATACTTCCCAAGAGTAGTCTAAACACCTGGAGGATCTGGTGAGCTGTAGGAATATTTAAGCTTAATCCGTACCCACCTGCTAACATATTTTTATTACAATGTGAAATGGTTCGGTATCATTTAGGAAATTGTGTCCATTCTTGAAGAATTTATTAAGCAGCAGCTGACTTCTCCATAAAGCCTCTGCCTCCCAAAGTGGAATATTTAAGCTCCGTTCTCCACTGAAAAATATTAAGTGTGAAATTTCATGTGTAAGCAGTAAATTATCGGGACTACACAGTGGACCAATTTTAGAAATAGCTAATCAGAGCCAATAAATTTCCCATTTGGATGTGAGGATGTGGTGGTGAGATCTAATAAGGACTGTTGATAGACATTCACTGTCCCAATTTCCTGCTTCATCAGAGCGTGTAACTGAAGTGAAGACTGACATCTTCGTCACCAGTTTCGGACCCGTTTCAGACCATGATATGGTAAGTGACACTGCATTTTTGGTTTTCTTGAGGTATTTTCTAAATTTAACTTTAAAAGAAAAATGTGGACTAAGTATTTAGCGAGCAACTTGGAATAGCTTGGCTATATATTTGTGTCTCTCCGTGTGAGTAATAGGTAATACATGATATATATAATATTTATATAATAGAAAATATCCGTTTACTTCCCAGGCCGGGTCTATTTAAGGCTATCAACCACTGAAGTCTTCTTTTTTTCCATCGTGGAAATGATTGCTTTGCCTTAGTTTATGTTCTGTAAGCCAAATAGTGAGAGTCGACTTACATTTCAGTTAGGAGGACATGTTGATTCAAGGATGCTAGGTTTCTGAGTAGCTAGCACTGTTATGGAACAGCCATAAACATTTATGTGATTTATGAATTATTTTTGGCTGACAAGGAGAAATGATTTTAAAAAGCAGCATGAATACTTGACCAGAATTAGACAAGGAAATAATCAAGGCATTTGTTAAATTACTACCAAGAGTGGGAATAAAATGAACACATACCTTTTCTTTGTTTTCCGACCCAAATAAATTAACGTGAATTTCTCTTCTATCTGATGAGAACTGATAAATCAGTAGAGCTCTGTAGATATTATATAATATTTGTGAACTCATAACAGCCAAGCTCCTATATAAGCAAAAAAATCATAAAGAGGCCATGAAGACACATCATTATGAATATTTCAAAGGTATAATAATGGAGTGTTATTTTTGAAATGCCCTTTTTTGACGCCAGACTAACATAAAAACCCTCTGATTTCATAGTAGCTCAGATTAATTCAGAATAAAAGTTACAAAAAATATCGACTTCGACCACATTTCTCAAAGTGTAGAAATTCACACTGTATGTACCTTGGCAGGGTAGAAGCTCTGACAAGTCCTGAAGTAAGAAAACCTGTTTAACTACATTTAATCTAGTGTTTTTCAATCATATTTGTCATGCGATAGTTGTTGACATTCTGTAGCACTAGTATGCTGTGGGTCAAACATTGGGAAATGCTGGCTCAGGATAATGAGATATTTTACATCTTAAGACAGGTAATGAAATGTACCAACCATGCAAATTAGAGTCAGTGGAGCATATGAGAGACAGCAGAGTGGTAGGGAAGAATACAGATTTCGGAATCAGAATGACTAGATTTATAATCTCAGCTCCTCCACTTACAAAGTTGTACCCTTGGGGAAGTTACTTAATATCTCTCTGCCTCAGTTTCTTCATGTGTAAGATGGGAGGAATAATAACACCTCATGGGGTTACCACAAGTCTTAAATGAGTTAATGCATGAAAAGCACTTAAAAAATTCTTGGCATATAATAAGTACTCAAAAATGTCAGCCATTTTTAGTATGTAAGAAATAGAGATATGAAAGTTACCATAATTATGGGTTTACCCCTCTGGCAACTCATTTCGTCACTGTGGTCAGTCTGTAGACCTCTTTATTGAAATACTTTGTGATACAATATGTTTTGCTAAATTGACTGCTCTCTGAGGACCTATTATGTTGCTTCCATGTTGGAACTCATTCTTCCCACAGCAGTAGTCTCCCAAGCTACTCTTCTAAGTAGGAACATTTGATAGATCCCAGTCAGGTTTAAGGTCAAATTTAAAGTCCCCTGCCTGTATTCCATACAACCCACAAATGCTTTTACCACTTGTCCTCACTCCTTCCCGGTATTGACTATTGACTTTAGTCATTTGCATAAGTGCTACTTTCTGTGAGGCAATACCACTCGTGGGCCAGGAGGACTGGCTCTAGGATTCAGCCTGGTGGAATTCCAACCCTGCCACCCGCAGCAGAATGACTTTGCGTGAATAACTTAAGCTTACAAAGCTCAAAGTCTCTGAAGTGGGTGTGTTATTAAAATTGCCTATCCTTGTAAGATTGTCAGAAATTTTAAATGAGATATGAAACTAAAGTGTCTATTGATAGTGCTCAATAAACTTATTATTATTTTTACCCCTGAACTCTTTTGCATGCCATGTACTCTCCATGGAAATTTCCTGTATTCTTCACTCATCTGAATCCTATATTTCCACAAAGGCCCAAACCAAGACCCAATGCTTGATGAAAACATTTTTTTATTAACCCAATAACAAATTTGCTTTCTCTTTCTGCATTCTAATCACATTTATTGGCTGTAAAATACAATTTAGCTTTAGGTCTCATATACAGTACTGTTTTGCAAAGTTTTTTCTCTTATATAAATGTCTTATTTTCCTAAAGTGATGACAAAAAATGTAAAGACACACTTGTTTCACATTCCTTACAGTATCAGAGCATTGCTGATTTACCATAAGTGTTGAATTACTACTTATTTGATGATAGGTTTCGGAGTCTGTATTATCTTTAAAAACTTAAGGTCTTAACAGGACTCAGTAAATAACACCTTCTTCCCTACCTGAGTTCTGAACCTTTTGAGAAATAAGACAATAGAGTAAGGGCTATGGAAAATGAGAATATCATCTTTATTAGTAATGATGATATTGCAGAAGGTGGTTTATGTCGGCAGACAAGTGGGTTTCCAGGGAGTAAACATTGGGATCAGCCAGATTAACCAACCTAGTCAATTGGCATGTTGGCCTACCTCTGCCAGGGTGTAGCCTGTCCATGCAAAAGTTGTAGCATGATGGAAAGCAGCAGAATTTGTGAGTCCGATGGACAGTCAGCTTCCAAAATGGAAAAGACAAGATAAAGAGGCTGAGATAGGCAAGATTGATTTCTCCTTACACGTTCACCCATCAGATTAAATTATTCCTCCCTCCTCCCCGCCCCAAATAGTAGAGTGTGAGGGAATGGAGAGCATTCAGAAGCCTTACCCTGGTAAAACTTTCTTCTCATTGACCGAAACATTAAGAGAGGTGATGAAGCATTGCAAACATCACACACAATAATGATATTACTTCTCCTAATAATAATAATAATTAAAAATGGATCTTCTTTCTCTGTCTCTTCTTTATCCCTGTCTCTTCTTCTCTATCTCTGAGAACCTAGCATGATGCCTCACAGAGTACATGCTCCCTAAGAGTTACTAAGAGAGAGTGCCCAGATAAAGCCAAATGCCATCGAAAACTTTTCTCTTGAAAAATATTTAGCATGCCTCTGAGTTATTGGTTCAGATTAACTGCAATTTAAAGAATCGATGATATCTTTTTTTCAGACTAAAGGTGAACAATAGGATTTTGATACCCATTAACCCTGTGATTATCATGAATTACTTTTCACACTTGGCCTTTGGTCAAATATCGGATAGGAAGATGGAACAGTGTCTAACCCAGTGATACTCCCTATTGCCTAAAACTCATGCATCAGACAATGTTTGAATTGTTCTCTCAAAGGATCAAATTATCCATAGGTCTGCAACTGATTTGCTAAGTGGTTAGTGGAAATTGTACCTGACCACTTTGTTTGAGAAGATTAATCATTTAAACCGCATAATGGGAGAATTATGCATAAGAAAGAGCAGTATGATTTAGAGGCTATCAAAATTAGAAGGCAGAATGACAAAGCTATTTTTCAAGACTGGAAAAGCTTTGTCGTTTTTAAAGTGTGAACTAATAAAATACCTAATTAATAATATTAACCATAACAACAGTCAACATTATTGAATGCTTGCAATATGTTAGGCACATGCTAAGAGTTTTACAGATCATATTTCATCTAACCCTCATGCCAAACATTTTAGCTAAGTATTATTATTATCCACTTTTTTCCCGAGGAGGAAAGTGACCCAGCTAGGTAGCAACTTGAACTCAGGCTGTCTGTCTCCAGAGACTCCACAGCTCCCAAGGCATCTGACTTCATCTGGAATAGAAAACAAAATTAGGACAGCTCCTTAATTTTATCTTAAAAACCATTAATTGGCAATCAAACAGCACATTCCCAGAGCACCAGGTTCTGACAGAAATATCCAGGCAGTGCAGTCACAGAGCCCTGTTTTCCATCCTGCTTAAAATGCGTTAAATCAAAGCACACACAGAAGCTCACAAATGGTGCAAACGGGGACACCTCAATACAATATTTATTTAGGAGCATAATGGATGTTTTGTCCCAGTCTTCGGAATAAAGCTCACAGTCTCCAGGGACCTGCTCGGTTGAACCGGGTAACTTGGAGAGATTTTCACTTGCGTGGTGGGAGCTGGAACTTGGAATCTTAAACAGATTCATCACTAGAGCTTTCTAGCTGTGCAGACACTGTTCTGTGGAGTCTTCTCTTTCGCCTTCTGTTTTTGCTTTGCTTGGTGACGACCACCCTCTCACTTTCCTCAGGTTTCATGTCCTACCACCCTTCCTAAGAAATAGCACTTTTTCGTTCCCAGCAACATAGAAATCTAATATAAATTTGTGTTGATAAAAAAAAAAGGAGACAAATAATAACTCCTAGCATTTACTGAGAACTTCCTATGTTACAGACATTCTTGCAAGCTGTTCCTTTGTATTAACTCAGTTCTTACAATAGGTACGTGTAGTAAGTACTGCCCTGATCCCCACTTTATCGATAGGAAACTGGGGCTTGAAGAAGGTAAGAAAATGACCTAAAGCCATTCATCTGGCAGACGAACAATTCAGTTCTAGTTAGTTAGGAGGTTTAAAACTTACATTTGTAACCATTGTGCGGTGGCTCTGCCCTCTCCTCCTTCTTGTTCCAACTTCCTGAAGAGGGGGATCTGGCCCATCTTGGTCTAAATGCACTGTGACCATGAGGGCAAGGTCACCTGAGAGCTGCCAGCTGCTCTCATGGCAATCTTGCAAGGGCGATTTTTAGGAAATGAGAGAGCAAATATTTTCACTCTTGATTAGGCAAGATCTGATCACTATCAACTCCTTTTATTTCAGTCTTCATTTCTAGTTCTCACAGAGTGGAACATGGAAATAAAAGCTTATCTAGTTAGTTTTGTTCCGTGTATGTGTGCTTGTGTATGCTTGCATGCTTGTGTGACCAGTACAATATTTGAAGGGAGACTATATTAAATGAATTTGGGGATTTCATTGTCTGCCATTAGCACCGGTAAGTAAAGCTGGCTGTAACATGCTAAATATGTAAACATCAGGTCTTGGTAAATTTTGATGTAATTTTTTGAAATCATTGCCTTTGGGTTATATCTTATGGAAGTTTGATAATAAATATATTTTAAGTTTATTTTATAGTTAACATTTTATTTTCAAAAATCTCCTTAGACCAAGCAAACAAATGTACAAAATTTTTAGCTCCATGGGAACATGGTCAGTTTAGACATCTTTGGAACTTTGGTCTACAAGTGGCCACTCCCTCTGCTGTTGACCCAGCGAAAGTAGTTCAGTTGGACAGAGAACAGAGCTTATGTGTCTGATTCCCAAGTAATAGGAATCTTATCATTATCATACCCCTGTCTCATAAGCTTACCTGTCTGTTGTCCAGAGAAGAGAACGTGCACAACCCAAAGTAAATCCATCCACTCTACTTCCCTGGCAAGCGCTGCTGCTCCATAGCATCTCCTGACGTAATCCACAGGCTCCCTCCCCATTTCTCTCCTCATGGAAAATACCATTCTATGCCCATGCTACTCCTCCACGAGTTTTTCTTACAGCATCCAAGTCTAAATAGTTTCTCCCTCCGCTGAATTTAACAGATGCTTAGGAAATGTTTCTTGGTGAGTAAATTCCTGTGTCCTGCTGCCTTTCAGCTGACGCTTCCAGACACGAAAAAACCTAACCAACAAACAAAGTAACTTCTCTTGCCTACAAGGAGAGACTGGCAGCGTGTTACACTTCCTTGTTTCTATCTCATCGGCATTTAGCACTATGCCTGGGGCATTATAAACTATCCAAAAATACTTGTTAGTTACTTGATCTGTGAGAGCTCAGCCATACCAAACACGTGCCAGAGGGATAAACCTTTATTCAGTCTTTACCCAATCTTGCTTAAACCTTGGGAAAGAGAGGGGTAGTTAAATTCCTGCACAAAACACCTACACACAGACATTAATTATGTCTGTCCTAAAGACGATATGTACAAGATTAAAAAAAGAACAGCTTTCTGACGCATCAAGGTTTACAGGATTAAGTAAATGTAGCATGATGTTTTCGCGTTAGTCTTTCTTCCTGTTGGGAGCATGCTAAGAATAATGGAGAATGTGGCCATCTTTATTTCAAACCATTGAGTTCCAAATTTAGTGTCAGAGTAACAAGTACTGCAAGAAAGATGGATATTACCCTTTTCAATTTTAGGAGCTGCGAAGTCATATTGCTTGCTTTCAGATTAGCAGATGTTTGTCTCTGGGTATTGCCATAAGGAATGCTGTGTTTATTCAAATAAATAGATTCCCTGGCTGTGAATGATGATGAGCTTCACACATTTCTTATGCGTCTCATACACACATGCACTCACAAACACACACTGATGCACACTAGCGTATTCGGCATTCTTTTTTTTTCCTTGGAAAAAAATCCAAATTACCAGTTAAACAAATTTCTTATTTTCATTGTGTGGGAGAATTGGAAAGCTGTATACAATGTCTGTGAAAAAAAAAATGTTTACTTAGCCAAAAAGAAGATGGGATTGTCACACCCACATTAGAACCACAAAGAATTTCACATTGGGTGTGAGGTTTTCTGAGACCACAGGAGGGCCTCCCCAAAAACACTGTGCTTTATCTTTATAACTGGAATTGTCTAATTTAAACATTTTCCTATATGTAATAACCTCCAACATGAGTTTTGTTTTTGTATGCAATAAGTTCTGTCTCTTCCAGCGCTGATGTAGTGGAGGGTGTTATTTTCCTTTCACGTATCTAAGGAGATAATCAGCGGAATTTTTTGGACCAAGGAATATTTCAGGCATTTATGATATTTTCAAAAATGGTTATACCAATCAATGATTCACTTGACACCAATATGTACAGGCCACCACAAGTTTACTTCTAGAAACATCACCTAGCTCATATTTTGCTTTTACAGTTGCAAAAATGGTGCATTGTCTGTGTAAGCTATTTGCATTGCATAATACAGCACAGTGAATTCTTTGCCATTTTCCAAAATTACCTAGGAATATACAATAGACGTATTTTTCCGTCAAAGCTGGAAGGATGAAAGGTTAAAATTTAAAGGACCCATGACAGTTCTTCGGTTAAATAACCTAATGGCAAGTAAGATTTGGACTCCGGATACGTTTTTTCACAATGGGAAGAAGTCAGTGGCACACAATATGACCATGCCCAACAAACTCCTGAGGATCACGGAGGATGGCACCTTGTTGTACACCATGAGGTGAGGACGACTGCCTTTCCGTTTGTGAATCTGTCTGTGCTTTTCTTTCTCTCCCAAGTGTAGGTGAGCATCAAGCTGATGGGCCAGGATAGAGCATCTGGTTTCCCGTTTTCCCTGTTTTTTCAACTTTAATAATTACCTTCCTATGAAAAATAAACTGGTTAAAATATTATTCAAGTATTCAAGTGTTAAGTAAAATGATTAGATAAAATGGAAAAGCATGTTTAAGATGTATATTAAGTAATGCAATGTATCTCTCCAACATACTCTAATTCAATATGAGAAACTTCCTCTCCCTACTATTAACCTTATATATTCCTGCATTCCAGTAAGGTCTAGATTAACTTTCTAGAAGCTGTCTCAAAGCATATATCTGAGAATGTTTCTACTTAATAAGAAGGGAAAAAGAATGAAACTAGGGAAATCTCCAGTCTTAAAAAGCATAGATTCATATGGGAGTATAAATTTGAAGAAATATATGAATCCACAATGATATTGCTAGATTGATACTGTAGATATTCTTAATTTTGCTTAAATTGAAAACTACATATATATTTCTGCTTTATCAACGTTTCCTCCATTTTGAGATTACTAGGAAGCCCAACACCTAGATACTAGTCATTCATTTATGATTGAATGAAGGAAACATGGATCAAATAAGGTTTTGAATATTTTTAAAGAAAAAAAGCAATGTTTAGAAATATTCCTAATTTATGAGAAATAAGAATTGTCCGGGACTCATTCTTAAGGGAAGCGGTTATTTTATACACAGATGACTTGTTAGAATGTTGTTTTGTCGATCTGGACAGCACTTGGCAATTCAGGTTGTTCAATTATTGCTTTGGTATGAAAAGGTAATGGAAGCAAAATCCTAGACTTAGTGGATTCTGTTTAGCATGGGAATAGAGGGATATTTTGCTTTTGGAGAAAGCTGCCAGAACTCCTAGCTTTTTATACACAAATATGCAAATGAGGAAGAAAGAAAAAATGCTTCAAGAGCCATGTTAGATGTTGGACTCAACAAGTAAAAGTGTAATAGGATTTAAAGAATGAAAATTCCCAAAAGAGACAAAGAAAATAGAAGATCAGCAGACAGATGTGTTGAGACTTCTCCAGATCATCTGAGCAGGACCTATTTATATTTGAAATTTAAAATTTGAAATAGTCTCCCCCTGCAAAATACGCTTCACATGTTTTCTAGCCTAAATCCAATATTCATTCCACCCAGCTGGCAATTTTCTGGGGAGCGATTTGCATATGCTGCATAGTTTACCAATCAATGGTTTCTGATATATGCAGTGTTCTTCATCAATAACTAGCTTATATGTTCTATTTAGTAAGTTTCTCAGTACCTTTGCTAATGTGTTATTACTTGCCTTAATGGTTTGACTTAAGAATGCAAATTTAATCATTAATTTACTCATTTCCTATTCGGCTTACTCAATATTATAATCATTTAGGGCTTTTACTGGCTATAAAGACATCCTATCACATTTCTTGAGCTACTTAATAGATAAATATATTTTCTAAAAATCATGTGAGGAATTTGGACATAAATTCTCTCAGAATTCCACCACATGAGATCCAATCTATTTCAGTGAATTCCTTTCTTAACTACCCTTTCTCAAATGTAAATAGAATCAGCATTCCCAGAACACAGGGACCAAAGAGAAGCAAAACAAAGTGCTGGCTTCAATTAGGCGGTGGATTTGTAAATAAAACTAAATGGTTGGAAAGTGGTTAGATCGCAGATAAAGTCTCAAGTAGACTTTGCATCAATCTCAATTTCGCAAAGCTGAGGGACAGTTCCTCCTTCACCTGTTCCTTTGTTGTGTTACGCATTTGGTACTACTTTAGAGAAGGAGGTAGGAAGAGCTCCAGTTAGGAAGGGAGAAATTCTCTTCTCTTCCTTGCTATCCATCTTCTCAACAAAGGATGAATTAGTATTTTGGCAAGTATTTATTTGCTTACACCCAGTTTTATTCTCAAAAGATTTCCTGTAACGAGGTGGGTTGTTTTGGAAAACGTTAGCAATGCTTGCCCATGATGCAAAATCAGGTGTCACCTATTTTCTCAAAACAAGCAAAAATATGGGTAGAGTCCAGTCATTGTTCTAAATAATTCTTTTTAGATCATTTGATGATTGACAGCTCAGAATAGCACTGCAGTTTGTGCCTGTCTCTCCTGCTTTGTTAATATATTTGCTATAGTTAGTGAGATCTCAATCAAATTTATCAGGAAGTATCTAATCTATAGGGCTCTTGTTTATATCCTATATTTCCCTTAATCGATAAGGCTGACGGTGAGAGCTGAATGTCCAATGCATTTGGAGGACTTCCCTATGGATGCCCATGCCTGCCCACTAAAGTTTGGAAGCTGTGAGTAAATTTATTTTAATTGTTTTTTATTCTTATGAGAAGTCTAAGTCTTTAAGCAAGAGACCTCCAATTCGTTATGTCTGCTAGAGAGACAAATAAAGAGCATCAAGAAAGTTTAAATAGTGATTTGCTGCAAGTACTTTCTATAAGTAATAATATTTGACTTCACTTTTTAATATTATTTCAGGAAGGGGATATTCCCAACTCCTGGACTAGAAAGAATGAGTTTAACTATTTTGTGGAAAAATTCTGTTTGTTGAAGTTGTATTCATAAAAATCAAGTGGAGAATGGATGCTTATACATCAAAGATAGCATTTTCTTTCCAATAAATGGAGATCATTGTGTTTATTTTATATCATTACTGACACTTGTTTGACCTTAAGAATGATTCAACTTGTTTATCAGATGGAAATATTGGTAGGTGGCAAAGGGCAATAATTAGGTGCTTCTTAATAATGAAGCCTACAGTTAAAAGGTGTAGCCAGAAAAGAATTTACTCTGATCGTCGTGTTGAAAAAGCTCTAGAGGCCAGTTTGGTGGTGTAGTGGTTCAGTTCATGTGCTCTGCTTTGGTGGCCTGGGGTTTGTGGGTTTGGATCCCAGGTATGGACCTAGCACCATTTGTCAAGCCACACTGTGGCGGCATCCCACATAAAAGAGGAAGATTGGCACAGACGTTAGCTCAGGGCCAATCTTCCTCACACATGCACACAAAAAAGTTCTAGATTTGTTTGTCTATCCCATAAAATTCATGTATATATTAACGCTCTGGAAAATATCTTAGATAAATCCCCTTTGTAATAACTTTCTGGGTTTCTGCTACTTGAAAATACGCAGGCATGTGTCAGAGGAGGCAAGAGAACAGTGGGCAGCAGAGTCAGGTCCTCTGGTCTTCCTCTCCCCTTCTGCTCTGACTAGTACGCATGCATAAAGTGAGTGGGAATATGTAGTCCTGGTTTCCTGCAGGGGAGTTACATACAAGGACTGAGTCAACTCCCAGACTACCTAACCAGCTTTCTGTTCTCACTAGACAGGCAGTCTGAGCAACTATTTTGGTGAAGATATGATTCATAGAAGAAAAATAGTGGTAGTGTAGGAAGACAGCAAGTAAAGAAAATAGCAAAGGGCCTTCAGGCTCCTAGCAGCACTAGTCATGGAGAGACAACTTCCTCTATTTATAAATCTCATTCTATCTTGAAACCCAAGGATAAACTACTTCAACAATTGTCAGCTAAATAGGCCTTTGGTGCTAACTCCTTTCTCTCCATTCTTTTCCCAATTTAATTTAATGTATATTCTATGCCAGGGACTATTATGTTTTCTCCTGATTACCAGTTCCATTTTTAATAATAATATTAAGTATCACATGTTAGTAGTATGCCAGGCAGTATATTAAACATTTGTATATGCATCGGCTCATCTAATCCTCAAAGGAACTCTCTGGTTAGGGAGATCATGCATCGTAGTTTGCCTGGAACAGCACTGATTTATTCCTAATACCCTGGTATAACTACTAATAGTACCCCCTTTTGCCTTCAAAATTATGTCATTTTGGACAATGAATTATATGTTTAGTATATTAGTCAAGAATGCTTTCAAGCAATGAGTATAGCTGGAAAAAAAAGAGGGGTTTATGTTTTCATATAAGTTATGCAAAGGAAAGTGACTGCTGATTGATTGCTGGTTAGTTCAGCATCTTAACAAGGATAATATCTTAAGATGTCCTTAGATGTTTTTCTTGACCACAAAATGGCTGCTGCAACTCCAGTCATTGCATCTGCTTTCAAGATAAAGAGGATGAGTGGGCAAAGAAGAAAGGAATAGTGCCTGCATCAAAAAGAAAAAAACTTTCCCTAAAATCCTAACAGATGTCTTCCCACACTTCGTTAATCAAAGCTGTGTCACCTTGCCAATGCTAACTACCTGCAAAGGAGGGTGGGAAGAGGTATTTTAAAATATATACATTGCCCTCCTGAAGAAAATTGGAGGTATTTTAGGAAGGAGGAAACGGATAGTGAGTAGAAAACGAATAGTATCTCTTATAAGAAAACCGAAGTTAAAGAAAAGTAAGCAAGCTATTTTCCACCTCAGAGCCTTTGCACATGCTCTTTTCTTTGCCTGGGTTACTCTTCCTCTGGTTCTTAGTGTGGCTGGGATTTTTTTCTCTCTCTACATCTCAGCATAAATATTCATCTCCTAGGGCCTTCCCTGACGACCTCATCAAAATTTGCATACAAGCTCATCAGCCTTCTTGATCACAAGACAAGTTTATTTTATACTGTTTGTCACAGAAATAATTATTCATTTTATTGATTTGTTAACATTTTTACTGTCTGGAGACTGTAAACTCTGTGAGAGCAATATCTATTTTGTTCAGTATTTCCTAGCATAGAGCCTAATACAGTGTAGGCACTCAATAAATTATTTATTGAATGAATAAACATTACAATAATCAGGTTTTAAATGCCCCTTCAGTATTTAAGTCTCAGAAAAGAGGGTTTAAGACCTATGGGGAATTAAACTTAAACAGAGTAGACTTGACATTGAAAAGTAGGCTCAGAGGGCACATGCTTGGTGGGGGAGCACACCATGACGGAACCATTGCCTGCCATTGGCATGACAGGAACAGTGGTGGTCCATTTATTGTGTAGCCATTTCTCTGACCTGGACTAACTAGCACATTTCAGAGATGAAGAAACTGAGGCAAAAGTGAGCTAAAAATGTTTTGACCCAATTTTTGAAGCAAACATCTTGCCAAACATCGGAGAAGAGAATCAGCAAGAGAAAAAGAAGAGGATTTTGCAATAATTTAGTGGAACACCATGTAATAAATGTTTATGAAGCATCTGAAGTAACTTCATCCATGTGTTGATAAGAACCAAACTTGGAAAGGCAGATGTTTCCTTACCACTCTCCATTGGATTCCGACTGTCAGAAGTAAATTACACTTTCTGCTTGTTGGTGATAAAGCCCTCTTCATAAGGTCGGATATCCTGAAAACAATGTGCATCATGTAGCGGACATCCTTCAGCTGCTTTTTGAGGAAAATACGAAATAAGGCTCTGATTCTAAAAGAAGAGATTCAGATTATATTTTTACAATAAGATCTGGGCAAGTGCTAGATCTAGTATGGACTTAGTAAATGATCGTTTCCTGACTGTAAGCGAGTCACAGAGGAATTTAAATAAATTCTGAACAATGAATAACTTTAGACATTACTCACTGTGCCTGCTTCATACAAGTGGAGAAACAAAGTCGCATAGATGTGAAGTGACAGTGCCAACGAGCAGATGCTCTTCTAAGTCCATGCTCCCAGTGCTGCATCACCGCAAAGTTCTTTCATAACCCCGACCCAAACCTTTTCGTCTTTTTAAAAATATTTCTTTAGGTAATCTGCTGATTTACTTGAGATCTGAACTTAATATTTTTGACTAAATAATTGGAGACTCTTTTTTAACCTTCTTTTATTTATACTGAATAGTCTTAAATCAAGAAACTTTTCATAGGATCTGCTTTCCAGATACTGAAGTGAAGAAACAAGGTATACTGATACCACCTATTGTGAGGCCATGGGCATATCCGTTTTCTACATCTGAAAACACCAATTTTCATCATGTGAATTAACTGTACATTTTGGGAGATATCCATTGAGAGACATGAACAATGAGTCATCTCATTTTCACAACAATGTCATGTTTATGATAGATTTCATACACAATAGAGTTTCCAAGAAATTAAGAAATGAAACACTGAATTACATGGAGAAGTCAATGGTGACACATTTTTTTCTCTCTTCGACTCTATTAGCAGCACATTGGTGACACCTGACAAGGTATAAAAAGATAGATGCCAGGCACTGTTGCGAATGACAGTGCGATACCGTAGCAAGAGCTTTAATTTATTATAAAATGACACAGGCCTAGACTTCATCAATAATCATGTGACAACCAAGTATCGTTGCGTGGCTTTTGAGCATATAATATACAGTTTTTGCCTAGAAAATCCTTACTAACAGCAGTGGAGTCGAATGAATGGCATTCTATGTTCTCATCTCAGTTTTCCCACTAAGCAGCTATGCACCTGTAAATAAATCGTTGAGTGTTTCTGTGCCTCAGTTTGCCATCTGTAAAATGAGATAAACTATATGACCTCTAGAGTCCTTCCACATTAGCATTCAATGATTCTATGTTACCATAAACTCAATATGTCTTCTTGGGTATAACCCTTCCTTTTAAAAAATAAGAATTTATCATGATCAGAAAAACATTTTGCTGAACATCGGTACCTACATTGTAAGCAATGTGGTTCTTCTCAAACTAGTGTGCTCTGCTCTCTTCAAAGGGGTTTTTTTTTTTTAAATAAATGAAGTTTTAGAGCCTCTTAACAATGCGATCCTCCAAGTATAAACAATGCTGAAATCCTTCAGGTTTTTTTTTAAAGTCAATAAGATGTGTTAACTCCATGGGAGGAATCCTTTCACAATATATACATATATCAAATCTTCACAGTGTGTACTTTAAATATCTTTCAATTTTCCTTGTCAATTATACCTCAATAAAGCTGAAATTAAATAAATAAATAGCAAATTAACAAATAAAAGACTAGTGAAGTGAAAACAACAGTCAATGAGGACAACTACAATTAAAAAAGATAAGCTAATGAAGACAAATTCAAAATTATCCATTTGTCACTCTTAACATGTTTCATAAAAGAAGCAATACCACTAAATTAATTCCTAGTATATTCTCTCAAACTTCTGGAAAAATTTGTTTAAAAAGATATCTGTAAGTTGTATGTTGGTCCATAAATGATGCTGGAGCAGACAGAATACCCACGTAGGGAACACTGACTACATTTTTCTGGGTCACTCACCCAAGGTACAAGTGGTCACTTTAAGAAGCTTTGTTCAGAGAATGAGGGGCACGGGCTCACATTATTTTAGGCAGCTCCATGCTTGGGTAAAAAGACAAACATCGTTTTACATCTCGTAATATTTCGGCTTGGATAAATACAGATTTGGAAAAACATCCAAGCCTTGTTACCTGGGGAAGGGGATTGGGTCAAGTAGGGACACGTTATGACTTTTCTGGGCCCTCAGCACTTTTGCATTTGTGGACTATCCCTCCAAAAATACATATTGAAAACTTATTTTAATTTTATGACTGTTGATATAAAAGTGAATGTAATTCAAGGTGGAGAATATTCATTTTTTCTTCTGATTTTGAAAGAAATTAGAACATTTTTGTGCCTCCTAAAAGCATTGTGAGCCCTGGGTACTGTACCTACTGTCCCTAATGGAGAAGTTGGCCAAGGGGTGAAGCTTTCACAGTAAGACCAACTTTTGCTATCATATCTTTCTCTCAAAATCCAGAAACAGTTTGGTTTTGCTATTGTGATATTCCTTAAGTACTTAATATCAATCTATATCTAAACAGAGAAGAGTATGTACCATTATTTCAACCTATGTGAAGCGGGTGTTCTGTGACTAGACATCAGAAAAGCTATGGAATTCCTCTTCCTTCTCTCTCACTCTGTATACCTCCTCCCCCAACCTTCTTGAATTAAAGATCAGGATTAAGACCTAACCTCTCCTATAGGAGGATGGCTAGGTGAAAAAGTGACATGGCAAATGAAAATGCTTGAAAGGGGTAAAGAGCTTTATGGTATAACACATTATCATCATCCTCATAATAACAAATACCTATAAAAACTTAATTTAAAGACAAAGAAAATTAGACTTCTTTTAGAATAGATGCTCAGTAAAATTTCCAGTGTTATTTTTCACATTTATCATGACCTTCTCCTGACCTGACATAATCCGGACCCAGATTGCTGCCTCAAACCTCATTTCATCTCTCATGTACTTCATTCTAGCCACATTGGTCTTCCTGTTCTTCCTCAAACATGTCAAGATTTTACCTGCCCTCAAGAAGAAACTTGTTAGTTTGCTCAAAGAGAGTACTCTTCCCCAAGACTTATTTCTGTCATGCACTTGTATAAATGTCATTGCCTTAGTGACCCTCTGTGAGTCCCTTACCTCTTCATTCTCTATCCCTTTACCTGTTGTGTATGGCTTTATTGCATTTAACACTACTAGAGATTATATATTCATTAGCTTAGCCATCTTCGTCCTCATTACTGCAGTGCATGCTCCACAAGACCAGGAGACCTTGTTTGTTATGTTCACTACAGTATCCTCCACAAGGTATTTTGTCCTTTGCAGATGCTTAACAACGATTTGTCATAAGAGTGAACAGATAACTGAATGAATTGGGAAAATATGTTTTAGTTTTCCTACATTAGGGGATATGAGCTCTCCTTTCCAAGCCTAACCTCTGGAACCATGCAATAGAAAATATGAAGCTGATAGAACACACCAACTAATTAGGAGAAATGAAGTGACAAAACATGTGGACATTTTTCATTCTTTCCTTTCAGATGCTTATACGAGAGCAGAAGTTGTTTATGAGTGGACCAGAGAGCCAGCACGCTCAGTGGTTGTAGCAGAAGATGGGTCGCGCCTAAACCAGTATGATCTTCTTGGACAAACAGTAGACTCAGGAATTGTTCAGTCCAGTACAGGTAAATGTATTCCAGATATGGAGAAAGGAGCCTCAAAAGTTTTTGTAAGAATATGAAAATTCAGTGAGTCCTTCAATAACATAACTAGAGAGGGAAAAAAATTGCACTGAACTGGGGAAGAGTTGAGCTGAGAACTAGCATAAATTCTATAGACCTGTGACCTTGGACTTGTCATTTAAAGTCCTTTAGCCTTTGTTTGTCTGTTTGTTTGTTTTTAAGATTGGCACCTGAGCTAACATCTGTTGCCAATCTTTTTTTTTTTTTGCTTCCTCTTCTTCTCCTCAAAGCCCACCAGTATATAGTTGTATATTCTAGTTGTAGGTCCTTCTGGCTCTGCTATGTGGGACACCTCCCAAGCATGGCTTGATGAGAGGTGCCATGTCTGCACCCAGGATCTGAACTGGAGAAACCCTGGGCTGCCCAAGTGGAGTGCTCGAACTTAACTACTTGCCCACAGAGCGGGCTCCCATTTCTTTGCAAAATAAAGCACTGCTTCTGTGTGATCAGTGTAGCACAGTCCCTAAGTATGAAAACTCTTGGAGAAGAACAACTGGGTTAAATTCTTACTCCTCCACCTTGCCAGTTGATTACAGTTACTTCACAGGGCTTTTGGAAGGAATAAATTAAATCCATGAAGAGTACTTATCACACTTCCTAGCAAATAAAAAGCTCTTAATAAATAATAGCTATTAATGTCATCCAGGCCCCATTTAATGCTATGATTCAATGAATCTTGGTGAATTTGGAGGAGTGATCATTACATACAGGATGCCAAAAAGCCAATTTCTTCTACAAATCCCCCTGTATTTCTAGCCAAGGATCTTCCACAGCTAAAACCTACAGAAACATAATCACATTACTCATCACTCCAGTTTGGAATCAGAAGTAGGTAAGATGCTATCCCTCTTAGTATGGTAACTGTTTTACTAATGAAATACTCAAAACTAGATCAGACAGGGCTAGACAGCTGGATACAAAATTTTAAATTTTTAACGTTATTGCAAGAAGTAAGATGAGTTTAGTTATGCAAGTATCCATTTTGTAACCAACTGAATGTGATCATAAGGCCATATAATCATAAGTAAAATTTGGATTCTAACAATTAGGAAAACTTACTCCCCCTCAATCCCAAAATTTTAAATTATGTTCAATTATTGAAAGCTTAGCAAGGGTCAAGAATTACTTTTATGGTTGTCTTTAAAATTTTAAATTAGTTCACTCACTCTGAGTTGTAACTTCTAAAGAAAGATAATGTAGTAATAAATAAGGACAAGACTGAGATTTTTCTCAGAAAAATTTCTTTATTAAATTTCAAACTTTATATGGGGACCCTGATCATGTTAACATATTCAAGTAATAGGTCAATATATCTTGCTATGATTATTGGGTAGTCCCTGCTTAGCAGGATCTGTCTTTTGCTTGTTTTAAAGCATCTATGGCTACCCTAGAAGCTTACATATTTGTGTCTCTTGCTTTGAAAAATAAAGAATATTGTTTCCCAGCTTTGTCCACATTGGAAATGCACATCACATAGTGGAAAGGTCGTTATTTATCCAATTAGAAACTCTGGTCTCTTTGAAGAATGTGGACTACAATTTTGCTTTAAGGTTGAGGTAATATAAAACACTAGGCAGAGTATTATATAGTAGATGCTCAAAATGATATGTAGTAGTTTTTGCTGTAGTCTTGAAAATATCCCAGAACATGGAAAATACTGAAAATTTTCCTTCCTCACAAGTTATGTTGGAAAAGATACTAAAATGAGCAGTGTTTACTTTTTAAAAATTGAATGCTATTATAAGCTGGATATTGTGACAAGCACTGGGGTCAATGATAGACAACATAGAGATCTTGCTCCCAAGGAATCTGAGGGCTAAAGGAAGACAAACACATAAACTGTAATTATCAAAATGGGTGGCAAGTGCTGTGATTAACATTTTTGTGAGGGCAGGGACCATGTCTATCTTCTCCATCCCTATTATTTACTATAGTAGCTGATACAGAGGAGGCACTAAATAAATATTTTGAATTAATGAATAAAAAATAAATGAATCCAGCCTTGGATAATCAAGGAAGGGTTGCTGCAGGTGTTGACTTGTATTTTGTTAATCTGTGTTTCTTGGGAATCAAATAATCACTGTTCTAGGCCCAGGGCATTCAAAGTAATAGACATAGAACTCTTCCTCAAGAGATTTCCCATCTATTATGACTAGAAGGGAGGTTGGAGGATGCCAGGGAAACAGTAATTCAAGTGCTGGAGCGTGTCTGCAATAGTATAAGTATATACAAGCCACAAAGGTTTCTCAGAGGAGAAAGGGCTCCATTCTAGTTCTAGCACTAGTGACCTTGACATATCACCATATCTCTCTCTATGTCTCAGTTCCCATGGGTGCAAAATGAGTAGCTTAGTCTGATGCACTTGGAGAACTCTCTGACCTCTGGTTTCCTTGGGATTCAACCTACCTGCATTATAGTTATTCTAAAAAGATACAGTGACAAATAGGGGCAATGGGATGAGAGACAGTGGCCCAATCCACCACCACCAAACTGGCTGGACCTTATAAGTTTGGTCCATTAAAAGTCATCATTCTGTGCTAGAGCAGCAAGATTATTTGCACAAAATAAGAGCTTTTTCTTATCATTCTCATAATGGATATGGGGGAGAGACAGTGAGGAGAATAATGAGTAAATTTTCAAATGTAGGAGCTCAATTTAATGTACATTTTCAACTCCACAGTAAGATAGTGAACTACACTTCCTCTGGATCTACTTTAGCTCATCAAAAACGCAACACGATAGACTTCTATGGGAAGAAACAAAGATCTTGTGTAAGGTGTTCAATCTCATATTTCACATCTTCTCGTGGAGCCCTGAAAACATTAAGATAAATGACATTGAGTATTATTACCTCCCTGTTTCTTCCAAAAGACTAAGAATGATGGCAGGAAAGAGCACACATATTGAGGATAACTAGATAAAAAGCATCTTTTTCTAACTTAAAATTCTCTGTGGGGAGAGAATCAATTCAGATCACCTCTTAGGAGATTAGAAGATGTTGCCCCACTTGCCTACAACCAACACACATGTGGACACCTACTACCTGTGACCTCTTTCAGGTCAAAATACTTCTAGATCACTTCAATGACACAGGAGGAAAAAATATGAGTCTCAATCTAACATCTGGATTTTTTAATTCAGTGCAAACACAGTAGAGGTTCGATCCCTTCCTTGGAGTCTGCCATCAGATTTGGCGGGAGAAAATTATAGACTTAGTTTGAAATGCACTTATTCATCTGGCAGAGCATACCTTTACAGGCACACAGAAGGATGAGTTCAGTCAGTTTTCAAATCCAATGCAATTCTCTGTTATTCATTTATTCACTTATCCCTTCAATCATTTGCTCATTTGCTGTGTTTGACACTGTGATTGGCCCTGGAGAAGAGAGATGGCAGACACATAGTTCCTACTCTTGGGAAGCTCATTGTTGAGCGATATAAGTAGCTAACATGTATTGCCACAGTTCTAATCCTCGCATCTAATGCCTACAACAATCTGAGGATGTAGGCATTATTATTATCCCCATTTTCCAGGTGGGACATAACTGAGGCCCAGAAAAGTTTGACAGTTTTTCCAAGATCACACAGCTAGGCAGTGGCAGAGTTGGGATTTGAACCTGGATAGTCCAGCTGTAGAGTCTGTGCTTTCAACCACCTGACACACTAGTAACTGGCAAGATAGACGTGTGAAAATGCAGCAACATTTGTTGTGTGGCGCAGCACAGAGTTTAAGAGTGTGGACTCCGGAGTTATACTGCAAGGGTTTGAACGCCAGTTTTATTACTCATTAACTGTGTGACCTTTGGCACAACATTTCTCTGTTCATCTCTCCTTTTGTACTATCTGGAGATAATAAGAGGATCTACTTCACGAGCTGCTCTGAGATTGAAATAAGAAAAATGCGTATAAACTGCTTAGCAGAGTATCTGACATAAAAAATTATGTAATAAACATTAAATATTACTATTAATAATGATGATGGAGTTATTACAAGAGAGCTACAGGATGACATGAAGAAGAGATCATTTCTGCTTGAAGTATCAGGAAAGGCAGTTTGAAACTAGACCCCAGGCATGGCCCCCTGTCCCATTCTGCTACACTACGTTATGCTTGATTGGTAATTCTTTAAAGAGAGCCCAGGGAAAAAATTATAATAGTGATTAAAGAACATGAAAACATGATTTATACCAAGAAGTAAAAATAATTAAATTAGTTATTCGGCATAAGAAGAATATCATGGCCAGAAAAGAATAAGAATGTAATAGTATGTAATGCTTTTTTTAAAAAACATACAGTGATGACTAGAAAGTCCTCATCTTTGCCTAAGTCAAAAGACAAATCTGATCAAGGAAAATGTAGGTTGGTTTTGCTGAATAAGAATGTCTATTCCTTATGAATGGCTGTCGTTTATCCTTAGGACAGCTGACCGCGAGAAATTGCGGGATGCTCTTTTCTAGAGACAGTCTTCTCCGCATGAGTTGATTTAAGGATGACCCTGCAGGGTCAAAATGAATGAGGAGCTCAACTGTCTTCCCCAACCAGGGAGAAACAATGATGATGAATATTCTACAAAGAAGCCCCAGGGCTCGCATTCCTACAGCCTAGTACATAATCTCCAGAGAAATATTTATAACCATAAAATGTGAAAACCAGGGGTGACAGAGGAAGAGTCTATAGTCATCTGGTCAATCTATTTGTATGTAAGATGAGAAGACAGTCCAGAGAGGCTAACTGGCCTAAAACTCTAAACATTGTTTCCTTATTTCTATTTCAGTACTCTCTGAAGCAGATTTTAAAATACCAACCCCACCTTCAATGATATTTTTGATATCTCATTCTTCTTAAAAAGTTAGCATCTGTAGAAAACACTAAGTTGAGAATACTTGAAAGGAAAATGACAGCTTTACATGGAATCAATGTTTACCACAATTTTGTTGAAGAAGTGAATGGTTAATTTCTTGAGCTGGAGAGAACACATTTCTAATCTTTCTATCTTTACACTGTAAATCTGTGTGTGACTCAGAATTTTCCAAAAGTGCTTTCACATCTATTATTTAATTGTATCTTCACAGCATCCCAGGAACAGTTAAGTAAAACACTATCATTTTAATTGAACAAATCAGCAAACTGAAGTCAAATAAAGTTAAGCAAGGTATTTACCCTTTAAGTAACTAGCATTTAAGAAAGCAAAGAATGGGAGCCAGGTCTAAACAAGCCCTTGATGCTGCTTTACAAAATTATGTCCCTGCTTCGTTTCTTCCACTCCCCTTAATTTTTATTGTAATGTATCAGGAATATTGTCACATCTGATTTACAAACGTCCCTCAGAGTTACATGATGTTCAAGGGTATATGAGTTAAAATCCTTCTGGACTGTTGAATTGGAGGAAAAGAATTTAACATGCTTCGTGCATAAGCACTTGATGTCTAGACATACTCTTTCAATCCAATTTAGGAGACTGATTTTCTTTTGTGTTGTTCTTTCATTTTTAGACTATTACAACATGATTCTGATTTTGCTGCCTTTTCCTTTCCTTATTTAAACGTTTTGCACCGGAACTTCTTAGATTTTCTTACTTAATTTAGGAAGATGATTTTAAAAGATTCGAAATTCTTCTCTTCCTTCTTTCATTTGTTACTGAGGAAGTGGTTTATAAAACAAATGTAATGTCAAATAATAACTCCTCAGATCTCCGAAATCATATTCTTTGCAGAATCTTCCCAAAATGTCACATTGTGAACAACAAAAGATGATAATGGAATATATGTAGATGTTCATTTTTCTGATATTATATGAAAGATGGAATTTTATCCTTTGAGCTGATGACATTCTGCAGGCCACAACTGAATGAATCGTTAGGAATCATAATGCACCCTCCTGGGAGGGTGAAATGTAACATATCTGTGTCCACACAAGTCACAGTTTAGCTGAGTCCTGGGAAAATTGGTATCATGCATTTTTCTCAGATTTGGACCACTGTTTTCAGACGACCTTGAAAACATCACCAAAAGTATCTACAGAAAATGAAAAAAAGATTAGTTAACGTTTTGTGTATCCTTCAAAAGAGATGCTCATGGATGTTCATTTGAACAAGTGCCCTTAAGCCCCGGTGCATGCCTTTCACCATAGGCAGGTACTGAGTACTTAGAATATGTAAGGCCATGCTATGTCCAAAGACCTATCTTGCTCCTCAATTAGCCTTCAGTTTGGACGGAAGGATATAAGTTTATAAATATCTAAAATTAAAAGTATGAGATATTATAAATATAAACAGGAGCTATCAATAAAATTGAAGTTAGTATTCATCAGTAAATGGCAGGTTTTATCATTCATGAGCGTTAGTAATGAAAGCATATGTGAATGCATAAATGATTTTTTAATATAGAGAGTAAATACATTTCTTCTACCAATACTTCTACCAATTCTGATTGAGGAGAAGAGAGAAGAAAATGCAGAAAAAACATGAAATTTATTTTAAAATTCTTATGTAGCATAATCTTAGTTAGAGTCCGTATTCTTTATTTGCCCCACAATATACTTCTCAGTATTTTAAAAATAAGGAAACAGGATCAGAGAGTTTAAGCGAGTTGCCCAAGGCTACACAGCAAGAAAATAGCATATCTGAGTTTTGAACCCAAATTAATTTGCTTCCAAAGCACATTTCTTCTACAGTACATTTCTTCCTTTTCCACTGTGGGCTTGGTACTTGGGCTGAGCCTAACTCATAGATAGCCAAAACATTCAGTAACAGAAGATGTCAAGCAGAGAATATTTCTAGGTCAAGATTCTGAGATGTGAAAATGCGTTGTGAGACATGAGACGAGAGACTGAAATGCGTCTTAGAGCTAGGATGTGGCGAGTCTTGAATCCAGGTTAGAGACTTTGCTTTTTAGTTTGTAAAACTGGAGACGTTGCTTGTCATGGTGGGGGAGGGGAGAGTGTTTGCTAATGGCATCTAGTGAGTAGAGGCCAGGGATGTGTCTAAATATCCTATAATGCACAAGACAGCCACGCACAACCATTATCTGGTCCAAAATGTCAATATGCTGAGGTTGAGAAACCCTGATGTAGATAATGGGAATCCATTAAGGTATCCTAAGGTGTTTACATATGCTTTAAAAAGATCACTGAGACATCAAAATTTAGGGAAAATTGGAGTTAGGACTTGACTGGAGGCAAACACAACAGTTAATAGATGATTGTAAGGAATCTACAAAGGAGATCAGAGCAGTGGCCACGAGATAAGAGATAGAGCGAGAGATACTGCACAGGTGAAATTAAAATTGTGGTGATCAAAGGATTCCTTTCTCTTTCACAAGCCCTCCTTAACATCCAGGGATTAACTCCAGGTTTTTAGCCTGAGTGAATAGACGAATGGCAGTGCCGTTAATCTAGAGATGAATGCCAAGTGGAAAAGCAGCACTGTTATATGCTGGTCATTATTTTTTATGGGAAAGGTTAATGAATGTCAGTTTTGAAAATATTTAGTTGGTGATGTCAGTTAAAAATCAATATATCTATAAGATATCTAGTAGATATTTGGAAATACAGGTTTCAATTTTGAGAGCAATGTCACTTAGAGATGTAGATTTGGCAGCCCTCTGTATAGAAATGACACTAGAAGCACAGGGATGGGAAGGAAGATCCCCTCTTAGAGTCGCGAAAAAATGGGGCAGAAAGCTGAAGACAGAGCTACACCAGGAACCTCTACCTATACTCTGCATAAAGATGAAGATTAGTGCCTAACAGATAGAAAGAATTCAATAAATACTCCCTGATTGAAATAATCAATAAGTTAGCAGAAGAAACGCAAAATGAGAGATAAAGGGAGAATATGAATCCAGAGTGGGCTATCAAGATGATGGGGCAGTCAGCAGTGCTTAATTCCTAATGCTGCAGAGGAGGCGAAGAGTCAGCTTGAAGATGCAGATCTTTAGGACTGAGGTTTTGAGCAGTTTTAGCCACATTATAGAGGCTGAAGCTAGATGGCCGTGGCTGAGACATGAATTGCAGGTTGAGTAGGGAAAAGTTTGGAGGTGAAGGGAAGGAGAAAGATAGAGAAATATGAATGCAAAAGAGAGTAATGTGTTCTTAGCAACCCACCCACAGATATCTCAGCATATACTCAGAGCGAATAAAGCTAAAAACTTCTAAGACTTGTAATTGAAAAGATATAATATTTAAAAAACAAAACAAAACAAAAACACCTCCTGCATTGTTTCCCAGACCAAGCCAGGAATCAGGACAAGCTCAAAAGCTGGTTATAAATGCAGATTTTCCTGGCCCCACCTGAAAGAATGCTTTGTGTATCTAGGTGGGACCTGAAGAATCACGTTGTAAAACTTTCCCAGGTAATTTCTGAGGAAAGTGTTCCTCAAAATAAATTTTGAGAAACACTGGATTCTATCCCACTCTCTTCTTCATTCTGAAGATCAGACTAAATTAAATGACTTACCCAAAGTCAGAAAGCTATTGAAAGGAAGTGCTGGAGCTAAAATTTGGCTCTCCTGATTTGGATGCCAAATCTCCTTCATCAGGCAGCCTGAATCTTTCCTGCAGTGGACAACCCTCAAGATCTGGTCTGTTCTAAGCAATTGGTGTATGTCATCAGGATCTAACACATTGCCTTTATGGTCATTAAAGGCAATCTGTAAATATATGCTCAGATGTGTCTTAAATGTATAATGTACCAGGATTAGGATGTAAGAATATCTATGAGAACTTGGCATCTCAATCTTATCCTCAGAGCTATTTTGGAGTGTTTTAAAAATGCATCTTTTCTTTCTTGGATGAAAGCTTTTCTCTTCAGGAACCAAATGTCACATGGAGAAAGGATGTGTCAAACCTCTAGGTCTTTACTGCTAATATCAAAACTCAGAGATAACTTCTTCTCAAAGTCAAATTTCTCAACCTTACTGTCTGTTCATCCTCTAGGAGAATATGTTGTTATGACCACGCATTTTCACCTGAAGAGAAAAATTGGCTATTTTGTTATTCAAACATATCTGCCATGCATAATGACGGTTATTCTCTCCCAAGTCTCGTTCTGGCTCAACAGAGAGTCTGTACCAGCGAGGACTGTCTTTGGTAAGTGCCAATCAAGACAAGCATGCAAGGGTCGGGAGGGCAAGTTAGACTGGTGACATGGCAAATGGAATGAAAAAAATATTATACACTGAAATCTTAAGTTGGTACAAAGAAAAGTTCAAGGAATTACCATTCTCATTATAGCATGATTTCAAAAAAATTCTTTTCTTAAATAGTAAACTGTTTTAGTGCATGTAAGTAGATGGGATTAGTGAACATTTAATTTGATATTTTGGGAGAGAAGTGAAATAAAGCAGGCATAAAATTCATCAGGACAGATTAAAACACACATACACAGAAACATTAATATTTAAAGCATACATTTAGAACACATAATCATGTATCAGTGTATATTCTGAGAATCCGAGAAAATATCAGCAGAGCTACTTCCTTACATATATGAAAGCAGAGGTTCCTCGTGTAGGGAGAGCTCCTTTGCCACCATCATATCAGTAAAAGAATATCTCACTTTACCTAATGTGTGCACTTCAGAAGAGTTACAAATATAATTTTTTCTATTAAAATATTTTAAGTTCTCTAGATGCTTCAAGTTAGGGCAATCTAATGGAAACTTGTTTAAAAGGCAATAAGCTTTTAGGATAACTCACCCCCTAATTTCTTATTTTAGAAGTTTAAATTTCATATAAAGACATATTTTCTGCCTGTATCATACTACACTACCTTAATTGTACTTTTCAGAAAGACGTAATCGAAGGATTCCATTACAATAAACTTATTGATTCATTCATTCATTCAGGGAATTTAATTTAAAGGCTACTATGAGCTCCCACTAAGTTCTAGGCACAGAATGCAGCAATGACCTTGACATAAACCACACCCCTCATGACAGTTATATTCTGGAGCTTAAAATTTGAATACAATAAAATCATACATACTGTTTCTTGAGTGCTTTTATATCAGACTCTGTTGTATGAATAAAGCCTGTATTATCTTATTTAACACTAAAAAAATCCTCTGTACAATTATTATCCCTGTGTTATAGATGAGAAAGCCAAAGCACAGGAGATTAAGTACCGTGCCCAAGATCAGAAGCTATTAGGTAAAGGAGTCTGGAGTAAGATCCAAACTCTTAGATCTAGAGCTTGTGCCCTTAAAGACCATGTACCACAACCAATGTGCCATCTGACTGTAATGACAAGACATGAAATGGGGTTGTCGTGGGCAACATCACTCATTTGGAAATAACAAATAACAACCACCTATTTATCGGTGAAAGGTGCAATTAGCAAAGTCCATTCCAAAAATATCAGCAAGGCGCATGCTATATTTAAGACCATTTACTACAGAATAAAAGCCTGAAGAAGCCTACAGTCTAAGCTAAGGATTACTCATGTGCAGAGATCCCTCTGGTATCATCCTTCAAAAACAGGCAAGGTGTGAAAAGTCAGTTACCTCAAAAAAAAGCAAGACTCTGCTAGAAGTGCCCCAAAAGGAGTCCTTTCTTCTGAAATTAGCAAAGTGCTTCTAGGTTGGAAACCACCGAACCTTTGCCCTGACGATAATCTAAGAACAAGCTACATCAGGATCCAGGTATAAAGCAAAAGAATAGTTCATTTCAAACTCTTTGTTTTCCTTATTTCCATTTGTGAAGATTAGCTAGCATTGAAGCCTCTTATTAGAATTGAAGATTGAACTCTTGTCAAGATCCTCGCTTCTATCTGTGTATGTAGTTCGAGACCTTTATTCACTAGGAATTTTACAAAAACAAATTATCACACACAAGATATTTACTTGATGTTTATTTTGTAGAATGAGCCCAGCACTATAGTGAAAAAGATTTTTCTCCCCCTCTCCAAACAAGTCCTACCCTTCCTTTTTGGAAATTCTCTAAAGCATTTTGGAGTGTTTTATAGATCCAAAACATTGCTCTTAACATTTTCAACAATCTGGTATCTCAGCTCACTCGTGCCCTTTTGCTGAACTTAACTACATATCTGTACACTCAGCTGTGGCAAGTATTTCTGTTTATCAAGCTATATATCTAATGTTTTAAGTTCAATAAAATCACGAACACAATTTTCGAAGACCTTTAGCCTTTTAACATTTATTTAGTACACGTTTCCATTCTTTTTAGTCTGAACTCAGCACATTCCTCTGAGCTGTGTGAGATGCCTGAGAGGGTCATGAGTGTCTAAAGAAATAAGAGGAAAAATCCTAGAAGTTGTACTTTATAATAGTCTATTAAAGGCATCTAGAATGCAACAAAAGTGAAGGCTATTTTTAAGTCTTAAAACATCATTTTCTTGACCTTCCATATTCTCTCGTTTGGAGGCGATGTGGTCATGTCATTTTGCCGCCAGATAGATGCAAGTTTTAGGTTCAATCTTCATTTTTCTAAGCTTCAGTTGCCTATAAAATGAGAGTACAATTGAAGTCAAATAGCACAGTTTAAAAGATTAAGTGAGAAAAATAAAATAAAACACGTAAATTATCAGGCTCGGTAATTGAAACTTAACGGATCCTTAGTACACTGTCATTCCCCTCATTTTCTCTATAGCAGGAATTGTAAGACAACACACACACACCCCTCTCTCTATACTATTCCTAACTGCTTTTAATTTATGGATGCACTTGTTTTAGGAACACCCATTCGCAAATTACTTCTGACAGCTGCCTACATAAACCAAAATTTCAAAAAATAGAAATTCACCATAGCAGGAATTTATCAAACAGGACTGAAGTTGTCAATAATAATAGTCATTAACTTTGCCCTTAGTCAGTATCAGGCCAAGTGCTAAACACTTTATTACACTATTTTATTTAATATTCACAATAGCCCTCTGAGTTAGACTTATCAAAATTAATTGACAAGGAAATAATTTGAGAAACAAAAAACAGAAGCTCAGAATCGTGAGGCAATTTTCCCAAGGTCATTGAGCACTTACAGACTTGGGATTTGAAACTGGGTTGCTCTCTTCTCTAAATACGGACATTTAATTACCTTGCAATTTGCTCAAGTAAATATTGATATTTAAATCTCGGGGCTGTTTTCCAGCCAATATTCCTTAAACCATCTATTGGTTATGTAATACGGATAATGCCTCAGAAGTTTCTGTAACACCTCCAAAGTTCAAAGTAAGTCTATTCCTTACAACTTGACCATGTCTCAAAAATATGATTTAATAAAGCCTCAGTGTTTCTTCTTAATCCTGTGACTTGTTAATATATTTACAAAGATTATCTGGCTTGAAATTCCTGGAAAACTATGGAATATTGGATGGTTTAAAGCAGCCTCGACAAATTAGCCACCTACTAGCTGTGTGACCCTGTTGATTCTCTAAAAATTAATTAAAAGAGGAATAATAGATACAAGTTTTAGACATGTGATGACAATATCTTCGATGACAATAATTATCATCTTTAACATGCTTTCACATATTATTACATTTAATCCTCAAATAATCTTGTGAATGTGCAGAAATTTCCCTCTCTTAGAATTTCAACAATGATACAGACAGTCTAGAGAATGAAGTCTAAATTACCCCTTTTACAGATATGAAGGCTGAGGTCTCTGGAAGTTAATTAACTCGCTCGAAGCCACAGAGCCAAGAAGTGGTGAGGTTGGTACTAGTCACCGGAAGGGGTTAGAATTTTTCCACACCATACAGCCTGAGCCACCTGCTTTGGGTCACTGTGAATTGTTTATTATACATTTTCAAACGGCTTAAAAAGGATCTTAAATATTCTAACTAGTACAGTACATTACATATTAGTTTGATAATATTAATTTGTTAAATGAACATTATTGGATACCATCATTCACATGCCAACTCATAATTATGTAAATAAACTAAAAACAACTGACTTAAAACTTTTCTGAATATGGATAATTTTAATCACTACAGATGGATTCACACGATAGGGAAGATAAAGCAGTATTAACAGAAAGGGAAAGATTGTGGGCATTTAAGTCAGAAAAACTTGTGTTCAAATTTTGGTTTTGCCACTTCTGAGCTATGTGACCTCAAAGAAGTTACATGTAAGTTATGTCAGGAATTTCTTCAAAAGAATGGCTATTTCAGAATCAAGAAAAAATAGCATAAAAGCAGAAGAATTAATAATGTAAGAAAATATTATCCTAAGATAATGCAATGATCTATCAATTATCAAGAAGGTATTGGCTTCTTGGTTTATACATTCGGGGTACATGAGTGGAATATTAGACAGAGCTGAAGATCCAGAGATTTCTTGTGGATCAGAGACAGTGAAGTGCTATTTCTTTTCAAAGAGTTGGGGACAGTGAGGGAATATTATTTCCTTTCCTCCCCAGGACACCATGTTCAAGATGCCCATTTAAAGGTGTTTCCTATCTTATTAACAGCTTCTCAATAGCAGAGCACTTTATCCCTCCAACAGATCCCCCTCAGTACTGCCACACCATGAACTGAAAACTACACTGAGGTGAAAGTAAAACTCATCCATCTCAAACCAAAGTGGGATGAACTAGAAAACAGTCTCTCCGTGGTCCTGTTGGTTTCCCTTTGCGCAAGTACGCTGAACTCCGGGGATGAAATTTTGTGGTTTGAAATTACAAATTCACTTAATTTCTTTCTTTTCAGGAGTAACAACTGTGCTAACCATGACAACTTTGAGTATCAGCGCCAGAAATTCCCTCCCTAAGGTGGCTTATGCAACTGCTATGGATTGGTTTATTGCAGTGTGCTATGCCTTTGTGTTCTCAGCTCTGATCGAGTTTGCCACAGTAAACTATTTCACCAAGAGAGGTTATGCATGGGATGGCAAAAGTGTGGTTCCAGAAAAGGTAAATGCTTTAATATCCCCTGTGATATATCACTACTACGTCTTTTTAAACCTATGAGATAGAATGTTTGGAATTGGGAGAATGGATGAAAGTTGCAGAAAGATGGCAATGAGGATTTTTTTTCTTCTGTCATAAATGGTACAGTGCTATGATAATTTTGTTATTGCTAAGGAGAGAAGTTGTTTGAGCGGATAGATGTGTATAGCGAAGGGGATAAAGGAAAGATACAAAGGTAAATATTCTGCCTCAAATATGCTTTCCTATGGTTTCTATTGATTTGAGAACAGTTTTAACAAACCTGACATTAGGAGCAAATAAGCTTACACACACCCTTATAATTTTTACAACTTAAAAATCATAGTCTGTTGGTTGTTTTCTGAGCCTAATCACTTTGGTCATATATTATTACTATAATGCCTCAATTTAATCGCGTTTGCAAAATGCATTATCTCCAATTTTCAGTGAAGTGTAGAGCAGGAAACATATTTTCTCCCTCCAAAATAGAGCTTTGCTTTAAGGATCATGACACACAGAAATGACAGAAAAATTCTTCGTTGTAGAAAATTATCCAGTCAAGACTATCACTGTTCTCCTTGATTAGAACCTATTGTAAAGCGGGTTTTAAAGCACAGTCGGGAGGATAATTGTACTTCTGAGGTTTGAAGGAAAATATGTCAGAATGCAGGCGAGCCTTGGGATGGTGGAAAGAAGGGCAAGGTCAGAGACACCGAGCTCATAAGACATCTAGAAGTAAACCAGGAGGAGTCACTCTACAGCGACTGCCCCAAAATTCTGTTCCACTGAATACTAGTCCCTTGAGATAGCCCCTGGAAATACACTTCTGTGGTAAAATATACTTGAATAATGGCGCATGGTGGGTCACAGAGTCACAGTGTATTAAAGAGTCTGAGGGGGTCTGTAATAAAGAAATCCGTTTAGTGATACTTTTTCCACATCTTCACAAATGTACCAGAAAAGAGAATCATTTGTGGTGGAAACATTTGTCATATTTAATAAAATCTAAAGTGTTACTAATTATAAGGTGTACCATTAATATATGTATAAGTGAGAAAGGAAATATGCTGCCAAGTGAAAGCTCTTTGAGATTTACCCTTCAGCCATGAATGAATCAGTTGAACATCCCAATCATCTCCTATACTAGTAAAAGCAAAGAAGGTTCTGTATAGGATATGCTATTGCAGCCAACATGTACCAGAACCAGGCTCTCAAAATTCACCTTGTCGTGACATGTTTACTCAGTATAAAAAAAATCTCTGAATTTGCAATCCAAGAAGCTTGGCTCAGGTTTGATAGAGAGAAGATTGCATTTACCAGTAGGAGAGGGGCGGGAGGGTGGAGATAGAGTTACTCTCAAATACTTGCCTTAGCCATTGATGCCCTCCACTTGTCCTAGAATGAAAAGGCAGCCCAAAGAAGAGAGAGACAAACCCCGAGATGGGTGATCCTAAGACACTACTAATTGTAAGACGTAGCCCATGGTCATAGACATGAAAATCTTAAAAATGCACGACGTGGAATCACTGAAATGCTCCACTAAAGATTTTTTCAGAATTAGTAATAGGCAAACATTGGTGATTTGCAACTGCAAAGTGAAGTGTAAACACTGGGAAAAGTTGCTTTTCTATCCTAATACTTTCTCTGCATGCTGCAAGAAACCAGTGTCTTTCAGATTCTGGCTTATCAGTATCAGGTGTTAGTGACTAGTGGTTAGATGAAATGGAATTTGGTCTGAAAGCATAGAATTTGAGTTGAGGCATTGGTGAGCTCATAGTTCAGTTTATATTTATCTCCCTGACCTCACATTGTCTTTGAAGTGCTGTGTCTCAAAGTATTTTAAACTCTATCAATCTAGTCATTGTTATTCATTGTACATATATAGATTTGGTGTAGTCATATCTTATTTATACCAATATGTGCATATATATTTATAAATGCTACATCTATATCTATATTGATCATCCTAATGAGAAAGACATTATTTTCTATAAATTATTTATGCCTCTGTAAAAATCTTCCCTAGGGCTTTGCCAATTTAATTTGCTTATTGCAGAGAGTATGATGCAGGTCTAATTTTGACATTCAGAGAGGGTGAATAAAATATTTTTCCTGTAACCAGGTAAGTTAAATTTCTGGTCTCTAACATGGAAAAAGAAAATTCCCATAGGTCATCACATTATCAGGTGAGCATACAATAGCTTGCCTAAGATCCATCCTCATACGATTAATTGCTGATAGAAATATCAGCTTCTTAGAGAATATGAGGGAACTCAACATTTTCAGAAGTGAAAAAAACTATTAATTTTTACTAAAAACTTAGCTTGAGAAATTTTAGTTTTGGGGTATTATGATATACTGGCACTGGGAGAGATGAAATCTATCAATAATATCAACTATTCAAGAATTTTTCCTGTTGCAGATTGTTCATTTCAGTTTATCTAACAGAGTGTCTGTCACTCAACACGTTTTGAATAGATTGGAACCCATTTTCTCTTCAACATCAGGATACATATGCATTTTATCTGAAGGATATACTTGCTTTTTAACGTATCCTTTGATAGTAGAACTCTTATTTTTTAACAAATGGACTCAATACAAGTTCTGTTTGGCTGTTTGTGTTGAAATAAATCATATCTATTTATGACCTGTAGTCACTTGGACCATATTGAGAGAGAATCACATTTACTCACTTTATTTTTGTACAAATAGTTATGGAAACTTCTGCCACTCCTCATAAAGCTTAACCAAATCTGCCTTCACTACAAAATGGGTGTACATATACTTGAAGTAAGTGGCCTTGCTGTTAGTGATATAATACTAGAAAAAAAAAAATCCGGACTTTTTTTTTGTCCTAATATATGCTTAAGGTTTTGGAGGGGAGAAAAAGTAGCAGATAGTTCACAGAGCTGTATAATAAAGAAATTAACTCGTTAGAATTCCTGACTTGTGCCTTGTAAAAAGCATCAGGTATTCTGGAAGTAATATTTCATTGTGATTTGATAATAAAAATACAAATTATCCAGATAGCAATTCTAGTTGATGAAGTTTAGCTGCTCATCGATATTCTCTGTATAGATTTTTTGGCATAATAATCAAGTTCCACTCCTAGGAATTCTGATTCAAAATATGAGATTGTGCCCAAGACATTTGCACTTAAAAAATTTTTAACTGGTGATTTAGTGCACAAAAGAATGAGAATGACTCTTCTAGACTAGTACTATCCAACAGAAACATAAATGAGCCACAAACGTGAGCCATATGTGCAATTTAAAATTTTCTAATAGCCTTATTCAAAAACCATAAAGGAGTGAAATTTAGCTTAATAATATACTTTAGCCAATATATAAAAGCTATTACCTTTACAACGTGTAAACCATACAAAGCATTATTAAGGAGATGTATTGCATTCTTTTTTTTTTTTCATACTAAGTCTTCAAAATCCCATGTGTATTTTATACTTACAGCACATCTCAAATCAGACTAGTCACATTTCAAGTGCTCAATAGTCACAAGTGGCTAGTGGCAACTGTATCAGACCACATAGCTCTAAACAATGTTCCACTTCATTTTTTAGAAATGTCTATCTGACGGAAACCCTAAGAAATGCTGCAGTTGTCAATCATTGATGAGCAGCTGGCACTGATCAAGATTTGATTTCGGGATACCCTGAATAACCCTGCTTTATCATTTGCCCATTTGTAATATGGGGAGAAGGAGCAAACAATAGTTGTCTTGGTAATTTATTGCTACAAAACAAACCACCCCAAAACTTAGTGACCTAAAACAGCAACCATGCATTTCGGGCTGAGAATGACCTGGGTGGCACTTCTATTAGTCTGAGCTGGGCTCAGTTACATAGTTGCAGTAAACTGGAGGCTCTGCCAGGGAGAGAAGATCCACAATGGCCTCTCTCGCAGTACTAGGGCCCGATACTGGCTGGGGCTCTTGGTGCACATGGTTTCTGGTCACTCAGTAGTCCAGTCCCGGCTGCTTCACTTCACATGGCAGTGGAATATTTCAGAAGGTAAAGGCTGAGACTGTAAAGCTTCTTGAGGATAGGCTCCTAAGCCAGTACAGCATCACTCTAGCAAGGTCACAAGTGTAGTGACTTGAATGAGTGGGGAAATAGACTCTACTTCTTGATGGGACAGCCTGGAAAATATTGTGTCTGCATTGTTTATCCAACTTTACAGAGATATAATTGACACACAACATTGTGTAAATTTAACGTGTACAATGTGGTTGATTTGATACATTTATATGTTGTGAATTGATTACCACCACAGCCTTAGCTAGCTGTCTCCACTCGGTCACGTGGTTACTATTTCTTATGATACAGCATTATTAACTGTAAACACCATGCTGTACATTGTCTCCAAACTTGTTAATCTTGTAACTGGATATTTGTATCTGCATTTTTAATTTATCCCAATAATACAGTCATAAATTACATTTCGTAGATTTTAAGCAAAGCACAGATTTGAGTTTCAAAGTAAGGGCCACTTTGCTCGGCAGCTTATAAACTTGCTTTCCACGCTAAACAAAATGCTTTTATATTTCCTTCTACAGCCAAAGAAAGTGAAGGATCCTCTCATTAAGAAAAACAACACTTACGCTCCAACAGCAACCAGCTACACCCCTAATTTGGCCAGGGGTGACCCCGGCTTAGCCACCATTGCTAAAAGTGCAACCATTGAACCAAAAGAAGTCAAGCCGGAAACAAAACCACCGGAACCCAAGAAAACCTTTAACAGTGTCAGCAAAATTGACCGACTGTCAAGAATAGCCTTCCCTCTGCTCTTTGGAATCTTTAACTTGGTCTATTGGGCGACATATTTAAACAGAGAGCCTCAGCTAAAAGCCCCCACCCCACATCAGTAGGTCCTTTATTCATAGTCAGTTGTTCAGTCCTCTGCACTGGGAATTGCTTTCTGTTCCCAACTCGGTAATTCCCATCTGCTTTATTGCCTCTGTCTTAAAGAATTTGAAGGTTTCCTTGTTTCCATAATTCATACAAGAACAGCAGACCCCTGTCTGGCAGTCCAGAGCAGAGCAGAGTATACAGCTGAGAGACAGGATTCACAGAGAGGGAGCAAGAAGGCAAAATCGCGACAGAAGGAGACAGAATGAAAGAAAGAGGAGAGGAGGGGGGGAGTAGGTCCAAAGGTATCAGGAAAAGTAGAAGAAAAATAAAACTGAGCTATCACTCCAGGTCATTTGTAGATACATATTTCCAAATACTCTTAAAAGAAGATACTGTATATGTCAAAAAATATTTTTATGTGAAGGTGTTTAAAAGAATAAATTATGAATGTTTGATGCAGAACAGATTTTAAAAATCCATGTCTTTATTGCACAAACGACAGCGTGCTTACATTTTTGTTTTGTTTTAAAACCGATGTCTAGCTTTAACATTTTGTTTCCAAAGCTGAAGATCCCCATTCTTTCTCCTTTTAAAAATGCCTAATGCATTATTTTCTTGGTAAATGCTATTTTAAAATTCATGGGAGTTGCATAGGCAAAGGTGCACATCCTCACTATAGAGCACATTTAGTCCAATGGAGAGAAATGCTTTAAATAGGCTACTTCACTCTCATCGGAGCTTTTACCTCAAGCCTCGATGAGGAATCATCTTAGCAGAGACATACACTCAAGAAAAACCAAAAAAAAAAAAACCATTAAATAAAATAAAACAATTAAAAAAGATTCCCTTTCATACCCTGTCTATATCCACATAGCACATGGGTCCAATAATCACTTGATTCTCATTATGAAGATGTTTTTAGAGGGGCAAAAATATTTTGCAAGCTCTAGAATTGTTGAATGTATTATTTTATATAACAGTACATTAAAAGCTTTAGATTGATATTTATGACCAGTAAACAAAAATAGAATATATAAATTCTATATGTAAATATACAGCATGAGATTGTACATTTTTTACTTTTTTTAAAGTTCTGTTCTTAAAACGTTGTGTAGGACTCACCGCTCTTAGCTGTTAGAATGTTGTTAAGTGCTGTGGAAACACCTTTAGAGCCTGCATTTAAGACCAGAATAGCCTGTGGGAATCAGAAGGAACTTAAACTATTTGGGTATGAAATCCACTTATGTAGAGAAAGCTTATAATTTCAAACTGTTGTCTGGTATACAGTAGTATGTCAGTTGTTATCTGCTCCAATCATGCCACATTTCCCTATTTTAGGCTCCTATAATATAGAAAGAAAATGGAAAAGCATTAGTGGGCGCTAGAAGATCAACTGTATATTATTACTATCTTTGCTGACACCAACTATTTCAATAAGTGTTGTACCACATGTAGCATCGAATATAAAAGTTCATGAAAGAATGTACAGGAAATAACTTTTATTGAGTAATATTATTACATTTCGTTTATACTGTAGCAATATATTTGTAGGTATACTATGTAAGGGCTTTAACTACAAGAGGTCCATTAATACTCCCTATGAAAATTCTAGTCTGTTTCATTACTTCCCGTATGTTTTAGAGATAAATATTTACGCAGAAGGTATTTTTGAAGTCTCCTTTTGTCTGATAGAGCTTCAGAGATATTTAAAATTAGTGTTCAGAATCCATAGTTCACAGTCTACACACATTTAGAATACTACAACATAAACTTGTCAGCAGAATTGCCAAATAAGACAGTTGGGATCCATACCCAAGCTTTGAGCAATGTTTTTCTCAAAAAGCTGCTATCCAATGATATAGGAAAATACGTGGTTTGTGTTTTCCTAAACAAACTCTGGTTTTCTTTCTAAATATGTTTTATTGTTTAATTTGGTCCTGCCTAAATTCGATGAGCTAGGCCAATGAAGGCTGAACCAAGGATGCTACATCCTCTGGTATCATGTGTAGATATCATGTATAGATAATAAAATAAAATATGGCTCCAACTTCTGTGTTGTTGTTTATCTTGTTATTTTTCGGCGTTAACCTAATGTGTTTATTATAAGCATTTTACCTTCCAGACTCCTCATGGCTAACATTTGGTCTGTATTTTGCTCATTAGATGTGAATATTTCTTCTTAGTCTGCTTTCTGCTATGCAATGACTGCATTTCTATCATTTCTTAGTTTGTTAGTATATGTGGATAGTATCTATTGTATAAATTGATTGCACAATTTATCAAAGACAAATTATTCTGTGTAGCTTTTCTACAGTGCTTTGCTAAACCATGTAATATTAGTTAAGTCTTCCTTGAAAATAAAGACACTCTTATAGAGGACAGTTCCTGTTTACTCCCAGGAAAATTTTTTAAAAGATGACACTGAATGTTTATTGCACCTTAGTGCAGTGCAGTGGCAATAAAACCCAACATGAATCGAGGTTGTTTATGGCAGATGCATGTATTGCTTTACAGAGTTTAGCAAAAGCTCTTAATTTTATGTCATACTGTATTCTATTATAATAATAAAGCTAACATTATTCAATAACAAAATGGAATGCTTGACTCTCTTTTCATATTATTATTATTATTTTTTAAAGATTTTATTTTCCCTTTTTCTCCCCAAAGTCCCCCAGTACATAGTTGCATATTTTTAGTTGTGGGTCCTTCTAGTTGTGGCATGTGGGATGCTGCCTCAGCATAGCTTGATGAGCGGTGTTGTGCCTGCGCCAAGGATCCGAATGGGTGAAACCCTGGGCCGCTGAAGCAGAGCGTCTGAACTTAGCCACTGGGCCACGGGGCCTGCCCCCTCTTTTCATATTATTCATGGGACCTACCATTGCCTGTTTTAAAACATTTTCGGGTAGGAGCACCTCAAAGTGCCAATTGCGAGCAGTAATCTAGGCTGCTTAGAAGATTTTTGAAGTTGTAGCAATAGTATGATCCTAAACTATGATTTTAAAAGAATTACTTTTAAAAACACCTGGTATCTGGTGTTACTAGTATCATTTCAACTCAAAATTGGTAAAGCATAAATAGAGTAGAATAAAAATGCTGAAATGCTAGTAGAGTTTGCTTGTATCTATTGTTAACACAGTCAATTTGTTGTCGGATCTACTCCGCAGACTCTGATTTAATTGTTTTGGGGGAGGGCTCTGAGTACTATAATTTTAAAAGCTCCCCCGGGACATCCTGAATTTCTTAGTGTTTCTTTAACCACAAAGTCAGATTAAAGTGCGAAATATTTCTAATTACTCAAAGGACAATAGAAAAATCACTGCAATATCATTTGCGCCTATCAGGCATAAAACCGTACCTGGTTTCTAGAGACAAGACCACATGAAGCAAAATCTTTCTGTGTCAGATGGTGGCAAGGCCAAAAGAAATTATATTTCAACAAATAAAGCATGTATCTTCCTAAAAAATGATTCAGGACCTAGAAAAATTGATAACTTTAAAATCTTCCAACCAAATGAATTATTTAATTCAAATACAACTGCCCATGTAAACTACCTGAGCCATCATGTTCATTGATTTCTTAGCTCTCATTCAAATGAATGTAATAAATGATGATTATTTTGGTTATCAAACTGCATTCATGTCAAAGTTCACCATAATAATTATCAAAGGAATCAAAATAAGAATGAACTTGGCATTGCTGCTGACCATCTGTTTGAACTGCATTATACCTGTTCATTAAGACCTTCTGTTGGAGTTTTCTAAAATCTACCCAGCTGGTGACCAACAAGAAAGATCGTGTGACTTGATTACAATATAGCTAGAATTCAGTCAAATAAATTAACTCCAAATGTTAATTTCATTTGCTTAAACTAAGTTAAACTAACATTTGCTGAGTCTCTACTCTGTGTTAAGTATTGTGCTGGATGAAAGGGATGTAGAGACTAATATTTCATGGCCTTTTTTCTTAAGGAAAATCACAGGTCTGATGGAGGAGGAAGACAGAGAATCAGGCAAAGGTAATAATGTAAATATTGTGAGAAAAGTAGAGGATGCTCAGTGCCACGTAATAGGAATACCTTGCCACTCTTCATAAGGTTGGATCATTGAATCTGGAGGAACTAATAATGTCCAAGATGAAACATGAAATACAAGAGGAATTGAAGTGGTTCTGGACCACAAGTCAGTGGGCTTGGGATATACTGCCAGCCCTGTGAGTTGTTAGCCATTTAACTTCTGGCTAAGTATTTGAGACCTCTCAGAATCCTTCAGCTACTGCGGTAGGTACTGAGATGACAGAGATGAAGGTGACAGTACGCTCTTGGAAAGTTTATAATTTTGTAGAGATCCAAATGAACCTCAAGTTATAATAATGTAAACAGGAAGTATAACTGCAAATAAATGTACAAGAGATAGGGGATTTATGGAAAGCTAGCTGAACTAGGGTTTGAAGGATGATTCAACATTTATCAGGCACTTTAGTGATGGGGATGGCTGCTGGTGATAAGGGACGGACTTTTCATTAAAAGATAATAACACATTAAAACTTGCCTCAGAGAGTCTCAAAGTCTGCTGCGGGAAAACAAACATATATGTGTGAAGTAGACCAAATACGACACTAAGGGAAGCATCGGGGACTGCGGGAAACGGTACATGCCTGCTCTCTTTAGCCTCAGCTCTAGCTATTTGGTGCGATGTGGGGAAAAAGGGCTGTGTATTGCTATATATTCTAATGTTACCAAGAAAACCCTTGATTTTAAATTCTTCTTAACTACAATTTTGAGATTAGTCTGTTTGTCAAACATAATGCATGAGCCAGTTAAATTTGGTTTCTGAGCAACCAATTAGTGAACTCTTTTTTCAGACTGTCTACATGGATTCATGCACTCATTTGATGCTCATTAATTGAGCAGCTCTACTAAGTTTGGTGTTATGATTATTTCACAGAGAAAGGGAAAGTTGTCCTCACTATTAGTTAGCAAACTTCAAAACTCTATTTGAGAGAATGCTGATTACTTAGAGTTTTCAAGGCCACATTGTTTTTCAGCAAAACATTTATGGTCTAAAGAGAAGTCAAAGTTTCCTCGGTGCTGTAAAATATTAAGATTATTTTTGCTTCTGGTTGATAATTTACCTTTTTTTCTCTAACTATAACATGTAGCACATGTTATTATGGAAAAGATTATTTTCTCATTACTAGTCCATCAAAGTAGAATTATGCATATTACCTTCTTTGAGTCTACCATGGGCAGTACAGTTATAAAAGAAGAAATTCATACGTGTCTATTGATTTGCCTAAAACGCTGTCTAAGTAAGTGATGTTGCCAGATTTTAAAAAAAATTGTACTTCATTCTAAAGCTGATACCTTTAACACTCATCTTTTTAAAAAAAATTACACTGGATCTCCTCAACTAATGGCCTATTTATTTTTTAATTAATAATCTTATAAAATATTACAAACAACATAGAGAATAGTCACTTCATGTCAAAAGCAAAATTCATTCTTAATAAGCTGGAGATGATGAGGGTCCCACCATGGGTGCTTTGGTACCCATTGTAGCAGAAAGAGCATGGTCACTGGAGCCAGAGATCTCACTTTAAATACTGTCTTGGCCCATTGGACAGTTCCTTCTGATGCTCATTTATGCTGGACATAGGGATAACAGTAATTAATGTGCATATTTCTAGTATGGCAGAGTAAGGACCTGAGCAAATCCAGTCCCCGAAAGCAATGATGAAATTGACAGATTTTGTAAAACAATAATTTCAGGATTCTGGAAACCAACCAATGCCATACAACAAAGTTAGGAGTATTAAAAAGAACTTTTCTAAGAATGTTTATGTGTAATGTGTTAACATGAAATTACACTCATGACCTCTTCAGCTCCATTTTTCCAATAATACTACCAGTGAAGGATAAGCTGTGTAAACAAGAACCTTCACCATTGGAGAATTCTTACTTAATTTGGGGCAAAGCTTGCAAAAGTCCCATACCCATGGATGCTGTTGGAAACAGTAGCAATCTTGTAGGCAAATGAATACAAAGGCCAATGCTAAAGGTAATCAGAAGTTGCAGTCCTGATTAAAGCAAAGGATATACCGGCAGAAGAGTCAGAAATGGAAATTTAACAGGAAGATGAGGAAAATAAGGCATCCATAGTGTGGGCTGACTTCAAAGCAGTATAAGTGTGTTCAAAGAAGGAAAATGCTATGTTTAGCTAATAAAGAAAAGTATCATGAGAATGATACATTAAATACAGAATCTCAATAAAGAGACAGACATCATAAAAAACGTAAATCTAAAGGGAAAATCTGGACTTCGAAATCAGAATAATTGAAGTGATAAAGTTACTAGAGAAGTTCAAGAGCAGATCTGAGATGTTATTTTAGTCTTTGCACACAGTATCAATGTTATCCACAGCCTATGTTTATCAATTCATTGGTTTTTATTCAGAAACTAAAGTAACAATACATGGAGGTGAGCAAGTAGGGAAGACTGAGGATGTAAATGATGAAGTATGGCTTTACTAGGGAAAGTCTATAACTTTATTGTCAATGAGAAGGAATTCAAAGTTTCATTGAAATAGATCTTGGGGATCTATTTCAATAACTGTAATAAATTCAACCCACAAATGGAAAAGTGAGTATAAGTAAAATGAAGAAATAAAATTCAATGAACCTGTTAAAATGGAGGTTTTTTCTTACCTAATAAAACTCAAATAGTCTTGAAAATTAAACTGTTTTTTCCTTTAAAGAGGAAATTCAATTTCAGACATCATAAATGAGACTATACCCTCCTCTCTATGTTATAACACAGCTATTTGCAGGTCAAGCAGTAATATTTGCTCCTACTGGTTGTAACTGTTTCTACTTTGCCCATTAGTTCTAGTTTTCAACTGCTGTAAGAGCAGGGAAATGTCTGTGGATATTATAATTATTACAAATTTTTACAATCTTGAAAGATGAGATAGCGTTTATGCTCAGAATGATGTAGTTTTAGAGGGCAGCAAATGTGCATACCGTAATGAAACACTGCCTAGATGTTCACAACATTAAAAGTTGTGAAGACACATTGTTGAATAGAATGTGAATTTCTGGCATCACCATTGTCTTAGGGTGAAGGGTGCAACAAGGGTCTCTTCAAAATCCTGTAGGGCTCTTCTCTCTAACACACTTATTCAAGTACAATAATAGAAACGTTTAAAATTGTTTTTATTAATATTGGTGATTCTGTGTTCCTTAGCCCTCCTATTTCTGTGCAGACTACCACTGAGAGTTGGTGAATTGACACGTGGGAACTGAATCGACTTACTTGGAGGGCAGTTATCCACATGTAAAGTTCAGCTTCTTCCCTTCCTGGCCACTGCAAAAAAAGAAACAAACAGAATTAACATACCAAAACTGTTTTTAAATTCAAGCCCTAAGTAGGACTTATTAAAGAAGTAGTCTCAGGAATATTTTTGATTCAAAAACTATTTTCTTGAATAAGAGATTATTCAAAGGTAAGATTAAAAGTCATGTGTGGCCCAAAGAAAAGGAACTATGTTTCCTCAACAAATTTTGCACAGTGCCCCAGGAGAAAGTTCAACCTTGA